CCATAAAGTGATCATTTTCTGTGGCTTGCAGTGTTCAAATTTTATAATATTCCTCATAAAATAATATAGAAATACAGAAGTAAAAATTATAATAAAGATATTTGCCAGAAACTATTATATTGTTACAATTGAAAAATACGTATATTATAATCAAAATCTAGCTCGTGTTAATCATTTTTCTCAGGAAAATGCAGATTAAAACTACAATGAGGCACTACACACCCACTAGAATAGCTAAAATCAAAAAGGCTGAGAATACCAAATGTTGGCAGAGATGTGGATAGAAAAGCTATACATCTCAATCAAGATTGAGATGGACAAATGTATATATTTATCGTGTAAATTATATTTCAATAAAGTTGATTGAAAAAAAAGTAGCTCATAACATCACTTTTAAAAACAATCCCTATTTGATTCATGGGTTGAATATATATATAGATCTTAGGGTACTGGCCCTGTCCTTGCTGGCTTGAGGTGGCTACCTTCATTATAACCATTTCCTTTTTTATTTTCTGTTTTTTCATACCCACTGGAGAGCAAGTGGAAATAGTAGTAACATAATGTTTTTGCTATTTAGAATATGATAAAAATTTTAAAGAGGAGGAGCATATATGGCAATCAAGAGAGGTATATAATGAACCTCCATGTAACCAGCACCCAGATTAAACAGTTATCAATTCATGGCCTGTCTTGCTTCATTTGTTCTTATGCTCATACATACTATGTATTTGAAGCAAATCCCAGATACCATGTCATTTCATATGTAAATGTTTCTGTTATTTAGCTCTAAAAGATACTCTTTTTAGCATAACTACAGTACTATTATCACAACAAATAAAAAGAATATAAAATACTCAGTGTTCATATTTCCTCAGTTATATTCTTTTTTTTTTTTTTTTTTGAGACAGTCCTGTTCTGTCACCCAGGCTGCAATGCAGTGGCATAATCTTGGCTTACTGCATCCTCCATCTCCCAGGTTCCAGTGATTATCCTGCCTCAGCCTCCCAAGTAGCTGGGATTACAGGCCCATGTCACCACACCCAGCTAATTTTCTTATTTTTAGTAGAGATGGAGTCTCACCACATTGGCCAAGCTGATATTGAACTTCTGACTTCAGCTGATCTGCCCGCCTCGGTCTTCCAAAGTGCTAGGATTATAGGCATGAGCCACTGTGCCCAGCCTATGTCCTAATTTTTTATAGTGTGTTCAAATCAGGATCTCCATCATGTCCATACCTTCCAAATGATTGAAATGTTTGTTGTCTCTTTTAATTTGTTTCCCCCTCCCTCCTTTTTTTTCCTTCCAATTTTATATGCCTATGGTGTCCTTTAACATATTATTTTGCCCTCCTGGTTTACTGTAAATTGGTAATTGGTAGGTCTGAGGGTTTGATAGGGTTATGAGTCTGTCTCTCTGAATTACTGTCATGAGTATTCCGTAAGTAGAATGTGAAGTGTAGAAAGTAGAATTGTGTCAGCATGCTAATTCTCCCACACGCTGCTCTAGACTCTAGAGATATAAAGAAGTGAACAAAACAGAACAAAAGCTCCTGCCCTTATAGATTTTTATATTCTAGTGTATATTTTCCTAAACCTTCAACCCTCTCCATTTTGCTTTCTTCTTGGGGTATAACCAAATCCAACACTTTATTTTCTTTTTTTTTCACGGTTTCGCTGTGTTGCACAGGCCAAAATGCAGGGACACAAACAGGGATCACTGCAGCCTCAACGCCCCAGGCACAAGTGACCCTCCTACCTAAGCCTCCTAAAGAGCTAGGACTACAGGCATGTGTCACCATGCCTGGCTAATTTTTTTCTTTTTCTTTTTCTTTTTTTTTTTTTTTTTTTTTGTAGAAACAAGGTCTCAGTTAGTTGCCCAGGCTGGTCTTGAACTCCTGGGCTCAAGCGATCCTCCTGCATCAGCCTCCCAAAGTGCTGAGATTATAGGCGTGAGCCACAGCACCCAGCCCAACACTTTATTTTCTTGCCAATACTTTCAGTTCCCTTGCCCTCTGCTTTGTAATCACATCCATCTCAGTGCCGGCTATCTGCTTTCTTAGTACCTACTCCTGAGCGCAGGCATGCAGTACTCAGTGCTTGTGAAGTTACACACTAGGACAGATTGTTCCCACCTGTTCTGTATGGGTATCTGCCCAGCATTCCTATGTTTCACTGGGAACCTCATGCCCCAACTCTTTTCAACAACTTCTTTTCGCAAATCCTACTTTCTCACAAATGAGAAATAACCTCGATTCTTAACAAATAATCTAAATTCCTAAAAAAAAAAAAAAAAGTAATAATAATTCACAGTTACTCTATGCCAAGCTCTTCTAGGTATTTTACATTTATAACTTAGTGAACCCTTCTAATAACCCTAATACAGGCCAAACACTCGGACTAGTGCCAAGCATATAGTAAGTGCTTAGTAATATTTGTTTTTTGAGACAGAGTCTTACTCTTGCCCATGCCAAAGTGCAGTGGCACAATCACAGCTCACTGCAGCCTCAACTTGCCAGACTCAAGCCATCCTCCCACCTCAGCCTCCCAAGTAGCAGGGATTACAGGTGTGCAACATCACAACCAGCTGATTTTTTAAATTTTTTGTAGGAATGGGGTTTCACCATGTTGCCCAGGCTGGTCTCAAACTCCTGACCTCAAGCAGTCCTCACCCATCTCAGCTTCCCAAAGTACTGGGATTATAAGTGTGAGCCACCATACCCTGCTTGCTTAATAAATATCCTCTATTATTGGGTGGGCGCAGTGGCTCATGCCAGTAATCCCAGCACTTTGGGAGGCCAAGGTGGGTGGATTACTAAGAATACAAAAATTAGCTGGGTGTGGTGGCACACGCCTGTAGTCTCAGATACTTGGGAGGCTGGCGTAGGAGAATTGCTTGAACCTGGGAGACAGAGGTTGCAGTGAGCCGAGATCGTGCCACAGCCCTCTAGCCTGGATGACAGAGCAAGACTTCGTCTCCAAAAAAAATTATCTATCATTTTATGTTATTAAACTTAATACCCACTATCTCACTCAATAGTGTTAGTTCTTAGAGTTACTACAGTATGTAGTCCAGATACCACAGATCATTTAGAATGTCCTGCTCTCCCTGTGTTTATCTGTCTCATTTCCATACCTCTGTACATGCTACTGCCTTTGCTTGGATTGCTCCAAGTGAAGTATTCTTGAATGAGCAGGAAGTCACCTGGATCAGTTTCCAAGATTATCCAAGTTCACAGGCAGGTTTTTCTTTACTGCTATACCTTCTTGAAATAATTTTTTCTGACTGAATATATTTGTAGTCAGCAACCATTTTATTAGCTAGTAATTGTTTAATATTTCTTAGAATCTCATAGTCATATACTTTGTGACAACTGAGTTAGCTTTTTATTTTCTAATTATTGACTGTGCACCCAAAAGTTAAAGTTGCCGAACCTATAACTTGAAGGTCAGATTTCCAAGTAATACCACTAGTAATTTGAAACCATTTTACTTACCTTTCTTTCATTTCCAACCTTCTAGCCCCTTCTAATTCACATAAGATATATCATAGTCCAAATAAAACATCACTTAGGGAAAACTAATAACATACAGTAAAATAACTGCAAATATGGATAGAATGGCATAATAACATTACAAATTAGAGTAGCATAAAATAAAGTTTTTTAGAGTAAGAGAATTACTAATAACTTCATCCCTCCCCTTCACTTACTCCCACAGTTACCTTTGGGCAAAGCCTGTTAATTCTCCCTTTAAACATCTCAAATCTGCCCAGTTTTCTTCATTGCTACTTTCACTCTAGTTTAAGCCACCTTCATCTCTTACCGGGAGAGCTACAGTAGTCCCTTAAGTGATCTCCCTGGCTGTACATTCCCCACTCCCATTCACACTTCTCTTCTCTATAATCTCCACGCAGGGACCAGATGAGCTCTTTACACCATCAGCTGGATAAGCTCTTTAAACCATAATTCACATCTCCTCACTCCTTTGCTGAAATAGATAATGATTTTTTTTTTTTTTTAAGTAGAGATGGGGTTTCACCATGTTGGCCAGGATGGTCTCAATCTCTTGACCTCGTGATCAGCCTGCCTCAGCCTCCCAAGGTGCTGGGGATTACAGGTGTGAGCCGCCACGCCCGGCCCGATAATGATCTTTTTAAATACTGTGTGACAAAGCATACATAGTACCTAAATCTAGATTTGTCTTGCTCCAAAATGCTCAAAGTAACAGATTTTAATGCACAAATGTAGTGAGATTATGAGTCTTTCATCCAGACTTTTTGATAATATCACCTGACACAGAACAATGATAAAGAAAATGTGTTCTGCCAGGCTTGGGGAGACTGAGATGGAAGGATTACTTGAGGTCAGAAGTTTAAGACCAGCCTGGGCAACATAGTGAGACCCTGACTCCACAAGTAAAAAATTTAAAAATTAATCAGATTTGCTGGCATATGCCTTTAGTCCCAGCTATTCAAGAGGCTGAGGTGAGAGGATCACTCGAGCCTAGGAATTTGAGGTTACATTAAGTTATGATCACCCACTGTACTCCAGCTTGGGCAACAGAACAAGACCCTGTCTCTAAAAAAACGAAAGAAGAAAAAAGGAAATGTGGTTTTTTTACAAAACGTGCCTCTCAGTATCCAAACTGTCATTAACTGGACAACTGCCCATTTGGATGAAGCAGAAAGCAAATTCACCTGGATTCTACTTATAGAGACAATGTGAATAGAACTTTAGAAATTCAGTTCTTACAGATCTGTCTCTAAGTATGGTGATGGTACCATGAACTTCATAGCTGTGCCCCTGAAGAAAGGATTTAAGAATGCCAAATGAAAAGTTTTCTATTAAGAGAAGTAAATCTTAGAGAAAAAAATTAATAGCAGTTGTTAAATATATAAGAGCATACAGAAAAGTGAGTTGGATCATAATATATTAATATAAACTCAAGCATAGTTGTGCATATTCATTAATGTTTCAGTCCAAATCAGTTCATCTGAGCCGGTATTAAGACTTTCGTATTCTGTAAAATATATTCTCTCCTTTGATGCTAGGTCATTGAAAACCCCAAGATTCTTAAGTAGGAGAAAAACATACACATATATGATGTTGATGTGTCATTACCAAATAAAAGCACACATATTTACATACATAATTTTAATTTTAATATGCCATAGCTTAATGAAATACATATTTAGATCTTTAAAGAGATGCTTATCAGCCACGCAGAGTTTACTAAACTTAAAGATGTTCAGACTCTGAATTTGCTAATTTCTCTGTTACTAAGAGGTTGATTATCCTTAGCAGCTTCCTGAATCTCATCCCTCTCCAACTCTGCAACTCAGTAAAAGAAAGAAAAAGAGAAACTATGCATAAGCCCACAGTTAGAGTAAAAAATAGGTCAAACTCCTCCTCTCACATGATTCTTTTCTTGGTTCTTCCAACCTACTCTGCATTCCTTTTTCTTAAATCATCGTGGTACATTCACTCATTTCCCTTTTGGCTATGAGCGCTTTAAGCATGATAACTACTGAGCGACTGTTACAGATGCTGCAACTATCATAGGTTCTGCAAGTTTGTGTCTAGATTCTTAAATGCATTTAGTTTATGACGGCTTTAAGTATTAATCATGGCTTCTGATTCAAATCCAGCCTTTGAGGATACTCTTCAAGGTAAGAAATTTATCAAGAGAAATTTCATATTCTACCTTTGGCAGTAAATTTTTTTTGCTATGCTACGCTTACAATGAGATGGCTACTAACTCATAGTAATACAGCATGTCATTTTAAGTACTGAAGTACTTATTGACCATGTTTCAGATAGCTTTCCAGAAATAGTAATGCCATTAAACCTCCTTACCTACTTTTCTCATGCTGTATATCTGTGCTAGCTGACAGAGAATAGGATTCAGTTTGAATCTGGAATAAATCTTTTTCTCAACAAAAGTGATAAAACCTCCATGTTTTAATGAACTTTCTTATAGTTCAGGCTCTCATGTGAAATTTTTACCAAAACTACAGATACGAGGAATGGCTAATCTTTGATCAATGTTTCTTAGATTTGTTTAATCTGAGAATATTCTTTAAATTTCTTTTATAATTATTTTTGTACTTTTAAAACGCAACCTTTTTCATTATTTAGACAATATCATATAATTAGCTATTTTAATTAAAGTGGCCGGGTATGGTGACTGATGCCTATAATCACAACACTTTGGGAGGCTGAGGTAGGCGAATGGCTTGAGCCTAGGAGTTTGAGACCAGCCTGAGCAACATGGCAAAACTCTGTCTCTAAAAATGAAAATTTAAAAATAAATAAAAATTTTCCTCAATCTTTATTTCAGCTCCAGTGTGCTGCTCTGCTCGTTACAACTTAGCAATTTTGGCCTTTTTTGGTTTCTTCATTGTGTATGCATTACGTGTGAATCTAAGTGTTGCTTTAGTGGATATGGTAGATTCAAATACAACTTTAGAAGATAATAGAACTTCCAAGGCGTGTCCAGAGCATTCTTCTCCCATAAAAGTTCATCATAATCAAACGGTAGGTGCTATCTTTTAAGGAAACAACCTTAATTTAAAAAAAACTGACAAGTAAAAATATTAAAAGGTATTTTTTCATCCTACAGAAACCACAAACACTTTGTTTATATATACTCTGAATCACTTTCTTTTTCTGTTTTCCCAGGAACTGATTGGGCAATAACTTGTAACTATAGCTACTACTGCTATGCCATAATACATCTTGATCTGTTTCAAAATTGGTTCTTTCATTACTTTCTACCATCTTGAAGAAAATTTGGAAAAACCTGTTTTACATAATAAAAATTAACTTTTAAATTTTCTGAATAGCTTTTATAGGAGTATCATTTATAGCTGTTTATCACTTATAGGATTACTGCTGCAAGGGAGTTTAGATAATCTCATTTGCAAGATGAAAAATAAGAACTGGCCAATTTCTTAGGATATTCTTTTCTGAATGTACACATGCATAACCTAAGCTACTTAAGTCATTTTGTCTGCCTTATGTTATAGTGGAATTGATAAATGTGTGTTCATCATTTGTTTCTAATTAAGTTATATATACTTTATTTTATTTTGCTTATCACACAAGGAGATAGTACAGAAAGAAAACCTAGTATTCTTTTTAGAACTGTATTTTCAAGCTGAGTGTAGTGGCTCATGTCTGTAATCCCAGCACTGTGGGAGGCGCTGGTGGTTCACTTGAGGTCAGAAGTTCAAGACCAGCCTGGCCAACATGGCGAAACCCTGTCTCTACTAAAAATACAAAAATTAGCTGGGTGTGGTAGCACACACCTGTAATCCCAGCTACTCAGGAGGCTGAGGCAGGAGAATCGCTTGAACCTGGGAGGCAGAGGTTGAAGAGAGCCGAGATTGTACCACTGCACTCTAGCCTGGGCAACAAGAGCAAGATTTGTCTGAAAAAAAAAAAAAAGGCTGGGCACAGTGGCTCACACCTGTAATCCCAGCACTTTGGGAGGCTGAGGTGGGCGGATCACCTGAGGTCAGGAGTTCGAGACCAGCCTGACCAACATGAAGAAACCCCATCTCCACTAAAAATACAAAATTAGCTGGGCATGGTGGCACATGCCTAGTAGTGGTCCCAACTACTCGGGAGGCTGAGGCAGGAGAATCACTTGAACCCAGGAGGTGGAGGTTGCAGTGAGCCGAGATCACACCATTGCACTCCAGCCTGGGCAATAAGAGTGAAACTCCTTCTCCAAAAAAAGTAAACTTTCATCCATTTTCAGTGCTTATAAGGTATTTGGGTTTCACTGCTCATGAAGGTTCATACTTGGGTGAGTCTCCTCTGTCATTTATAAGCAGTGTATTCAAGCAGGAAAGAGGTTTTCTCTCTAAACAAAATAAATCTCTCCAAAAATCTTTATATATTGACTTCAGTAATGTTGTTGAATAACGTTTGGGCACACATCACTCACTCTCTCCACTCCAACCTGTGACCTTCAGGGACAATACTGCTGTATCGTACATGAAATCCTAGAATTCCACAGATAAACTGATTGGTACCCTAAATAAGGAAAAGTAGGAGTTTGCTTTGTGTCTTTTCCTTTGCAAAGTGCTTTTGTTGACCCTACTACTTATCTTCATCTGCCTTATGTCAGCATTAGAAAGAAATCCAGGAATGGTTCTTCACACATGGCTTGGTTATACAGCTACGTGCATTGAAGATGTCAGATTTTCAGATCAGTCATTAATTTTCATTAGTACCTTACTATGTGCTGCTACTATGAAAACACAGCTTCTAGTCACATTAAGTGTGTTGGTTGATTTAAATTCTTGCTTTTTGGTATTGTTCTATACGCTTAAGTGCTTGGTCTGAAATGGGGAGATATTATTCATATCTATATTTATGCATGTCGATAACCAGCATAAAGTAAACACTGTGCATCAAGATTTATTTTATGTTCCTATTTCATTCAAGATCACATATCTGTTAAGTAATAGAAATAGGATTCTAACAAGGCCTGGTTCCCAAAGCCTAGCTCAACCACTACAGTTTAATTCTGTTTACTAGGTTTCTGGATTAAGCCTGTGACTCTTTTTTTTGGTTGGAGTAGCAGGGAATGGCAGCCTCCTGAGCCATAGTAGGCTAAGAGACACTTAAACCTTTTTTGTGATTCTTTTGTGAGCCTTCTTGCTCATAGTTATTACAAAGCTTCTGCAGCTCATCCTGCAGTCTAGTTTCATAAAATTGCAAGCCTTCTTGAAGTTTACGACTTTCAGTTCCATTCTATTCACTTCTAAATGCTATATGTCTGTATTGTTATGACTCACCCACTTACTAGAAAGTTTGCATGTTCTTCAGTCCAAAATAGTAGTTCAAAATCTCATTTATATGTACTTACATGCCAGTAAGAGAAAAGAGCTGTTCCGTGAAGGTCTTAAAGGGTTGTTTTATTCTCTTCTGCTTTTTGTAGGGTAAGAAATACCAATGGGATGCAGAAACTCAAGGATGGATTCTCGGTTCTTTTTTCTATGGCTACATCATCACACAGATTCCTGGAGGATATGTTGCCAGCAAAATAGGGGGGAAACTGCTGCTAGGATTTGGGATCCTTGGCACTGCTGTCCTCACCCTGTTCACTCCCATTGCTGCAGATTTAGGAGTTGGACCACTCATTGTACTCAGAGCACTAGAAGGACTAGGAGAGGTAATTTTCTTTTCTCTCTTGTTTTACTTCTTACCCTACGTCTCCTCTTCTTCTTAAAGATTTCACTCTTTGGTATAAATATGAACCAAAAAATAACATTGGATGATAACAGGAATTTGTTTTTTACAAAAAGGACTAACTAGAAAATTAGCTGAATAGATTTTGTTTGTGGTGAATGGGTAGGAGCACCCCAAAATTTGAACCTTTACTCAAAAACCAGAGAAAACGTTTTTCCAGAAGAGACTTCATGATTTGTACTTTAGGAGAGAAGAAAATAAACCATTATTAAATTGTTAAGATAGGCTGGGCATGGTGGCTCACCGGTAATTCTAGCACTTTGAGAGGCTGAGGTGGGCAGATCACTTGAGGTCAGGAGTTAGAGACCAACCTGGCCAAAATGGCAAAACTCCGTCTCTACTAAAAGTACAAAAATTAGCCAGGTGTGACAGCACACACCTGTGATCCCAGCTGCTTGGGAGGCTGAGGTGGGAGAATCGCTTGAACCTGGGAGGCGGAGGTTGTAGTGAGCCAAGATCACACCATTGCACTCCAGCCTGGGCGATAGCAAGTCTCCATCTCAAAAGAAAAAAAGATGGTTAAGATTGGCCATCCTTACCGCTTGTACTTTTGTCACAGTTTAACTCTGCTCTATCATCGATGCCCAGATCTGAAACACATTTTACACAATAGACTGTTAAGTTGCATTGAATTTCTTCTTTATCACTTGTTCTTTTACTTTTTCTGGTCTTGTAACTTAGGGACAAATATTTTATGAGTTTATGTAACTATCTCAATTTAGTTCTATGATTCTGCTGTTTTTAGAAGTATTATTAATTTTTGCCTCTACTTCCCTCCCCTTAAGAGTTTTATCATTTTTTAAAATTTTTATTCTTGTCTTTTTCCTTCCCACTTTTCTTTTATATTTCATCATGTGTGCCTCCATACTTAAATGATTTTCACTTTTCCTTTATAACTTTGAACTTCTACTTGTGAAACCCAGACAAAGGTGTATTTTGTTCTCTTGCATTTCTTTAATTCAAGCAAGTTAGTGGCCTCTGGGTTTGGTGTAGAGCATGAAGATTATTTTAAGTAGCAGCATATCATGCTGTTGGAATGAACACTGGACTAGAGTCTGAATAATAGCTCCATTGTATCTAACAAGGAAACTTTAGGTAAGCTCTAATCTCTAGCCCTCAGTTCCATCATTTTTTAAATTGGGACTCAAATACCTTCCCTGTTTTCAGCCACAGGATAAAAAATTCATATGTAATAAGGATTGCTAGAATACTTTGGATATTGCAAGGTACTATTTCAAGATTTTTCATTCATCTGAATGTTTTGTTCTTATCAGTAGGGGTCTATTAAGTAAACCCTTCCAGATCACAAAATTAAAATGACTCCTCTATTACCAGGTTCCTCTTCTTCTTGACAAAGTAAAATATACTTAAATCTAGCATATTTTCTCTGATCCTAGTATTGAATCTCCTTGCTGGGTGTATCCCCATATTTTACTTCCTGTCTGTTTATGCCACTAATTTAACATTATATCATATTGATCATATTACTACTGTTATCTCAGGTGACATTTTATTTCTTTTTTTTTGAGACAGAGTCTCATTCTGTCGCCAGGCATCTCACTGCAACCTCCGCCTCCTGGGTTCAATCGATTCTCCTGCCTCAGCTGGGATCTCAGTAGCTGGGATTACACTTGCCACCATGCCTGGCTAATTTTTGTATTTTTAGTAGAGACAGGGTTTCACCATGTTGGCCAGTCTTATCTCGACCTCCTGACCTCAAGTGATCCACCTGCCTTGGCCTCCCAAAGTGCTGGAATTACAGGCATGAGCCATCACTCCCAGCCGACGTTTTATTTCTAAATAGAATTTAAGTTGTGCTTATATTCGGGTTCTCTCGTCCTTCTTCATCCTTCCAATATGTATCACAGGTAAATTTGCTCATTTATAAAGGACACTTAAATTACCATCTCTCATTCCTACCACCTAATTCATGATAAATATACCTACATTGTCCCTAGGTTTTATAATAAAGTTTTCTATAACATAATATCTGTGGGCATTTCCAAACATCTTCAGTTTTCTTCTAGAATCACTCATCCTGTGGATACTCCATGATATAGATTCTTATTGATTAGCAATGTACCTAAATTATCTTTGCATTCCATTGGTATTACTTTTTTTTAATTCCTTTGTTTTGTTTTTGAAAGAGTCAGCAGTAAGTACAAAGTATTAAAACATTTCTTATTCTCTCCACTAAAAATGGCACTAGCTACCATTTATCTTTACAACAATTATGCAAGATTGGGAGTATTATCTCTGTTTTACAGATAAAGAAATTGAAGTTCAAGGAGGTTAACTGATCTTCCTGAAGTGACACAGAGTGTCCAAGCAGAGCTGTTCTCGCCCACTCTCCTGTGCTATCTCCTCATTTACCCAATCCCTAGAAACCTCCTGCTTCCACATTCCATTACCTCTCTGTATCAGTAATTGCCATTTACTAGGCTTGTTATCACAGTAAAAAAAGAAAAATAGTTGTAAACATGCCTGTTGATTGTCAACTCGAATTTTTTTTCAGTATCTCAAAGTATTAGCTCAGTGTTTTTCAAAGTTACTAGTAATATTCCCTTTTCATTCAGGTGATCAATAAAGTGAATGAGAAAAATTAACCTTGAGCATGATCCCTTTATGTCCTCACTCAGTACAGTTCTTTTAGATTTATTGTAACCCTTTTCTTGTTATCTTTAAACCAGTTCCAAAATCCATGAATCTTTGGGATTTTTACTTTTTTTTTAAGAGATGGGATCTCACTATGTTGCCCAGGCTGATCTCGAACTCCTGGGCTCAAGCAATCCTCCTCCCTTGGCCTTCCAAAGCACTGGGATTATAGGCTTGAGCCACCATACCCAGCCCTCAAATTTTGAAAGTACTTCATTATAAGGTATTTTCACTTAACACTGTAAAAATGTCTCACTTCATGGAACCTGATTCAGGTTTGATTCTTATCCAGATAATGCTTTTGCAGCAAAATATTTAACTTACTTTAAAACATTACAAAACTACCTTGTATTTCATCAGAAATATCATGTTCCCTTCTCTCAGGGTGTCACATTTCCAGCCATGCATGCCATGTGGTCTTCTTGGGCTCCCCCTCTTGAAAGAAGCAAGCTTCTTAGCATTTCATATGCAGGTGAGATAACTATTATCGAATTTTGCTGTAATATGTTATGTATATATAACCCTTAGGGAAAAAGTACCTGCATACCAGAATCATGCAATGTTGGATTGGATGCCCCTCCAGGGAGAAACTTAAGTTTCAGTAGTATAACTTTATTACCAGTTTTTCTCTTTGGCTCAACAACTTGTTGTGGTGATGTGGCTTAATTGACTGTCATTTTCCCCATCTACCATCATTTATTTCAAAGTGTGATGCCTTTTCAGATATTGGTATAGAGCTGCTATTTTTTTTTCTTTTTCTGTTTACTTTTTTGTTTTTCAAAATTTATTTTTGTTTGGAGATGCTATTTAAAAAAAAAAAAAAAAAAAAGGCCAGAAGCTAGAAAATGGAATGTTTTTGTCCTTAAACTATGATTTCTCTTTTGATTATCTAATGAATGTATCGTGACTCTCAAGCCCTCTCTTCATGCATCTTTTTTTGATGCATCTTTATTTGCCATCATTTTGATCTACAGGTGAGATAACATGAGATTTATACATGTGAATTATAATTTTGCCAGATTGCATAAGAAATTCTAGCGTTTGTTTCATTGACTGAAATTTTTCCACCTGACTGCTTTTTAAAAACAGTAGTTGAGAAAAGGCCTCTCTGTGGTGCTTTTAAGCTAAAATCTGGAGGATAAGATCAAACCAGTCAGGCAGTGCGAAGAGCACTTCAGCCAGTCAGAAGAGCATGTCTGAGGGCTCTCAGGCAAGAAATAACATAAGGGTTCAAAGAAATGGAAAACTACTGTGGGTGGCTAGAACTCAGTCAGTAAGGAGGATAATGGCATAAAATGAGATTAGAGAAAGAGGCAAGAGCCGGGTTATGTGAGGTCTTACAGGATCCAGGAAATAATGTAGTTTTTTTTAAGAGGCATGATTCATTTACATTTTAAGAAAATTATTCTTGCAACTATGTGGAGATTGACATGAGAAATCTGATGATAGATTCAAGAACAGGTACTATCTAAGGTTCCCCTTTACCTATTGAATAAATCCCAAATTCCTTGAATGAGGGGCAAGATTCTTTACAGTATTCACTACTTTGTTGCAGCTAGCCTTATATCTCTGGCACATAGTGCCTAGCATGGAGTAGGTACTCAGTAACTGACTGTTCAACCTATTTTTCCAGGCTTATCTATTTTTCTTTTCCTTTCCTTTACCCAAATGACGTTCCCAAGCCTACTGTCTGCTTTCCTACTTCCATTCCTTTGCTTATCCTGTTACACTAACTCTATATCTTTTTTCTAATATTGTTTCTATGGGACCAAATTATAGCCCTTTTTTGTTTGCGTTTTGTTTTTGTTTATGAGACAGGGTCTCACTCCAGGCTGGAGTGCAGTGGCACAGTCACAGCTCACTGGAGCCTTGACATACCAGGCTCAAGTGATCCTCAGCCTCCCAAGTAGCTAAGTCGCTGGTACCACAGGCGTGTGCCACCACCACACCTGGATAATTTTTGTATTTTTAGTAGAGGTAGGAGTTTGCCATATTGCCCAGGCTGGTCTCAAACTCCCAGACTCAAGCAATCCACCCACCTCAGCCTCCCAGAGTACAGCGAATACAGCCATGAGCCACTGTGCCCAGCCCAGTACCCATCCTCTGTAAGCAGTAGATTTGTCTGTCCTATTTTTGTTTCTCTCTCTCCAAAGTTTATAAAGTCTTATGTGTTGTTCTAGGAGCACAGCTTGGGACAGTAATTTCTCTTCCTCTTTCTGGAATAATTTGCTACTATATGAATTGGACTTATGTCTTCTACTTTTTTGGTAAGTTTAAAATTTTAACTAAATTATAACATAACAAATTCAAAATGAATAGTAGCCTAATAATTTGTTAAAAATATACATTCCAAATCACCAAACCTCAAAGTTCTAAAACACTTACTGATAACCTGTTTTTCAAGTTAGTATGGTTAACTTGACCTATCTGAGTTATGACCTGATGTTAGTTTTGGAATATTTCTCAGTAGAATTTCTAACGACTGTTGATCCTGGACACATATTTGCTATTAAAAAAATCACTATCTTGGATATTTTCAATTTCTTCTCAAGCAAAGTAGGATGTTCTCACTTGGTAGTTTTAATGTTTTTTTTTCTTTTTATCTAGTCCCAAGGCATTTTATTTCTCAATTTCATTTTAATAAATTAACTTTTCACATGGATGTGTCATGCAAGAAGTTTATCTGCAATCAAAATTTAAAAATCAACTTACAAAAACAGACACCTTTGGAAATATGTAGATTGTGGAAATGTATCTTCAAAAAGGTTTGTCTGGTAGACCCTGACAGGCAAAAGTCATGTAGTTAAAAGTTGTTTTCTTCTGGCCGGCATGGTGGCTCAAGCCTGTAATCCCAGCACTTTGGGAGGCCGAGGTGGGTTGATCACGAGGTCAGGAGTTCAAGACCAACCTGGCCAACAAGGTGAAACCCGGTCTCTACTGAAAATACAAAAATTAGCCAGATGCAGTGGCACATGCTATAGTCCCAACTACTCAGGAGGCTGAGACAGTAGAGTTGCTTGAACCCAGGAGGAGTATGTTGTAGTGAGCCAAGATAGAACCACTGTACTCCAGCCTGGGCAACAGAGTAAGACTCTGTCTCAAAAAAAAATTTTTCTTCAAAATGTGTAGGCGGTAGCACAACTATAGCAATTATCCCATTAAAGAATTGAGAGAAACTTGAATTCAAACTGAAGTTAGTTTTACGTTGATTTTATAGTTACAGAATGTTTTCAAGACGTGTAAAAACTGCTGTTGGTACATTCTAATTTTGTGTTTTTGTTTTGTCCTTTATTTGTTACATTCTAATTTTATCTAACGATTATTTTTCGATTTTAAGGTGCTGTTGGAATATTTTGGTTTCTTTTGTGGATCTGGTTAGTTAGTGACACACCACAAACACACAAGAGAATTTCCCATTATGAAAAGGAATACATTCTTTCATCATTAAGAAATCAGGTATGGACTTTGACACTTTTTAAAAATAATACCAGAATGCTTTTTGCTTCAAAATTAAGATACCAATTTTTAAAAATCGATATTTCTATTGTGCATGCCCTAGGCAAAGTAGAAGAGGTACTGTCTGGCTGGGTGCAGTGGCTCACACCTGTAATCCCAGTACTTTTGGGAGGCCTAGGTGGGAGGATCATTGAGGCCAGCAGACTAGCCTACTCAACATAGTGAGACCCTGTCTCTACACAACATTTAAAATATTTAAAAATTTTTTTAAATAAATATGAACAAAGTATTGTTTGAAGAATGCAGTTCTTTCATTTTTTATAGAAAGTATTATTTTATAAGCTATAAAAAATACTTTTTAAGTCATTTTAAACCTTTTAGAGTAGTGGTTATCAAATGAGTCTTATTTTTACCACTTCATTAGTAGAAAATAAAATGTGTTATTCATGAAAGGATTCTCATTCTGATCATTAGTTGTTAGAAAACCAACTAGTGTGTTTATACAGTTGTGCATCCCAAATCTAAAAATTCTAAATCCAAAATATTCTGAAATCCAGAAGTTTTTGAGAACCCACATGATGCTCAAAGGAAATGCTCATTTGAGCATTTCACATTTTTTTTTTTTCATTTCATAAGTCGTCATGCTAGTAAGATTTTTAGATTTTAAGATTTAGGATGCTTGGCCAGGTGTGGTGGCTCACACCTATAATCCTAGCACTTTGGGAGGCCAAGGTGGGCAGTTCGCCTGAGGTCAGGAGTTTGAGACCAGCCCAGCCACACAACAAAACCCCATCTCTACTAAAAAATACAAAAATTAACCAGGCATGGTGGTGCACACCTGTAGTCCCAGCTACTCAGGAGGTTGAGGCAGGAGAATTCCTTGAACCCGGAGGTGGAGGTTGCAGTGAGCCAAGATCACATCACTGCACTCCAGCCTGGGTGACAGAGCGAGACTCTGTCTCAAAAAAAAAAAAAGATTTCAGATGCTTATAGGAGTGAACCACCATGCCCAGCCCAAGATTGACATTTTAAATATTTATATGTCGTATCATCAGGCAGTAATTAAAAACTTAATCTGGGCTGGGCATGGTGGCTTACACCTACAATCTGAGCACTTTGAGAAGATAAGGCAGGCAGATTTCTTGAGCCCTGGAGTTCAAGACCAGCTTGGACAACATAGTGAGACCCCAACTCTAAAAAGAAGAAAAAAATTACTCTTTAACATTTCTTTTTAAGTTTTTTACTTTGCTATAAATGTCTCTACAGCAGCTGAACTTTAAGAAATGTGACCTGTCACCGGGTACAGTGGCTCATACCTGTAATCCAGCACTTTGGGAGGCTGAGGTGGGCAGATTATGAGGTCAGGAGTTTGAGACCAGCCTAGCCAACATAGTGAAACCCCATCTCTACTAAAAATACACAAATTCACCAGGCATCATGGCACGTACCGGTAGTCCCAGCTACTCAGGAGGCTGAGGCAGGAGAATCACTTGAACCCAGAAGGCAGAGGTTATGGTGAGCTAAGATCACACCACTGTACTCCAGCCTGGGCAACAGAGCAAGACTCCATCTCAAAAAAAAAAAAAGAAAGAAAGAAATATGACCTGTCATGATCTTTGCCAAAGACTGGCAAAAACTTAGAAGAAATAAGTACTGTAATAAAGTTTCAACCAGGTGGAGAGCTCATATCCAAGGTTACTTGGGTCTGAGTATTCCCAGCAAAAAAAAAAAAAAAATTTTAGCTGGGTGTGGAGGCACACGTATAGTTTCAGCTGAGGCAAGGGGACTGCTTGAGTCCAGGAGGTCAAGGTTGCCGTGAACCATGATCAGCCTTTGCATTAAGACCTGGGCAACAGAGCAAGACCATGTCACAAAAAAAAAGTTACTTTGAAAATTTAGTGTCCTACGTGATGTTAATTGAGTTACCCACTTTTTCCTCTTAAGGAACAGGTTGAATTTAATGCATTATAAACAGATGTTGCCATATAAAACCTGATGTTTTGCCATTTTCTTAACACTGATGGGTAACAGCTTGCTTCTTCCAATATTTCCTTTTTATCATTATCTTCCAGAACTTATAAAACTTTTGAGTTTGTTTAAAGTCTTTAAAAAGCTTTCCCGGCCAGGCACGGTGGCTAAGGCCTATAATCCCAGCACTTTGGGAGGCTGAGGTGGGTGGATCACCTGAGGTCGGGAGTTCAAAACCAGCCTAATCAACATGGAGAAACCCCATCTCTACTAAAAATACAAAATTAGCTAGGCATGGTGGTGCATGCCTGTAATCTCAGCTACTCGAGAGGCTGAGGCAGGAGAATCACTTGAACCCAGGAGGCAGAGGTTGCGGTGAGCCAAGATCAGACCATTGCACTCCAGCATGGGCAACAAAAGCAAAACTCCGTCTCAAAAAAAAAAAAAACCTTTCCCTTGGTCAAGCACAGTGGCTTGCACCTGCAATCCCGACACTTTGGGAGGCCAAGATGGGAGGACTGCTTGAGCCCAGGAGTTGAGACCAGCCTGCGCAACATGATGAGACCTCATCTCTATAAAAAATTTTAAAATCAGCCAGGCATGAGGTTAGGCATCTGTAGTCTTAGCTACTCAGGAGGCTGGGGCAGGAAGATCGTGTGAGCTTGGGAGGCAAGACTATAGTAAGCTGTGTTTGTGCCACTGCACTCCAGCTTGGGGAACAGAGCGAGAACCTGTAAAGTGGTCTTATTTTTGTCTTGCTCCAGCATGCTCATAGAGTAGCCTGATTTTGGTTCAACAGGAGAACCCCAGGGCCTAGATGTTAGAACCAGGACAATTTAGCTTACAGCAGCCCAGGACTGCTTCTTTCTTTTTCTTTTCTTTCTTTTTTTTTTTTTTTTTCCTGAGACAGTGTTTTTCTCTTTTTGCCCGGGCTGGAGTGCAATGGTATGATCTCAGCTTACTGCAATCTCTGCCTCCCAGGTTCAAGTGATTCTCCTGCCTCAGCCTCCCGTGTAGCTAGGATCACAGGCACATGCCACCAAACACAGCTAATTTTGTATTTTTAATAGAGATGGGGTTTTACCATGTTGGCCAGGCTGGTGTCAAACTCCTGACCTCAGGTGATCCACCTGGCTCAGCCTCTCAAAGTACAGGGATTACAGGCTTAAGCCCCCACACCAAGCCTGACTGCTGTTTTTCTTTCTCACTTTGCTAAGAGAAAGAGTGGTATCTTCCAGAGAGAGAGTGACACCTTCCAGGAAGTGCGGCAGTTGGGTGTTGCTCTCATGGATAAGGCAAAGGCAAAAAATAACAGGAAGAGGAAGCAGGTGTAAGTCAGGTCATGGAGGGTCCCCTGTGCCTCACTAAGGAGCTTAGCCTTTATCCTTCAGGCACTGGGATGCCATGTAGTATTTGTAAGCTTGAAGTGACAGAATCAGGTTTGCATCGTAGATAGCTTATGCTGGCAGTAATGTCAAAGGAGATCTGAGCTGGACAAGCAAGAGTTGCCGTTAGAATGTTTTCTCAGTTATTTAAGAAAAAGTCAGTACTAATAGGCAGAAATGTGATTTCATTCTTACAACAAGTGGGTTTTACAAGTATGACAGTGTATATAGTTCTAATTCTGATTCTGAAATTTCTACAAAAAAAGAAATAGGCTGGGTCCAGTGGCTCATACCTATAATCCCAGCACTTTGGGAGGCAAAGACAGGAGGATAGCCTGAGGTCAGGAGCTTGAGACCAGCTTGGCCAACATGATGAAACCCCTTCTCTACTAAAAATACAAAAGTTAGCTGGGTGTGTTGTGCATGCCTATAGTCCCAGCTACTGGGAAGGCTGAGGCAAGATAATCGCTTGAACCCAAGGGACAGAGGCTGTGATGAGCCGAGATCATGATACTGCACTCCATCCTGGGTGACACAGCAAGACTCCATCTCAAAGAAAAAAAAAAAGAATGGAGAGAGAGAGAAGGCCAGGCATAGCGGCTCATGCCTGTAATCCCAGCACTTCTGGAGGCCAAGGCAGGCAGATCACCTGAGGTCAAGAGTTCAAGAGCAGTCTGGCCAACTTGGTGAAACCTTGTCTCTACTAAAAATATCAAAATTAGCCATGCATGGTGACAGGCACCTGTAAAACCAGCTACTCAGGTGGCTGAGGCAGGAGAATTGCTCGAACCCGAGAAGCGAAGGTTGCAGTGAGCCAAGATTCCATGCCATTGCACTCCAGCCTATGTGACAGCAAAACTGTCTCAAAAAAAAAAAAGAGAAACAAAAATCTTCATTGCACCCTGCAGTTAAATTCAGAAGGCCAGCTCATAACTAGTGAGTGCTTTAAGACCATCAACTACTCTATTTTGAAGATCTCTTTTTAATGAATTATGGAAAGACATCACCGCTTCACCCACTGAAATGTCCTTTCCTATATAGCTGCTATTTTTTGTTGTTGTTGTTATTGTTGTTCTTTTCTTAATTCTAGGGTTTTCTTGTTTATTTGGTTCTGGGGTTTTGGGAGGTTTGTTTGTTCATGAGAAAAGGTCTGGCTCTGTTGCCTAGGCTGGAGTACAGTAGCATGATCTCGGCTCACTGCAGCCTCCCTCCACCTCCCAGGCTCTAGCCATCCTCCCACCTCAGCCCACCAAGTAGCTGGGACCCCACAGATGTGTACCACAAAGCCTGGCTAATTTTTATATTTTTCGTGGAGACAGGGTTTTGCCATGTTGCCCAGGCTGGTCTTGAACATGTGAGCTCAAGTGATCTGCCCTCCTCAGCCTCCCGAAGTGCTGGCATTACAGGAATGAGCCACCATGTCCAGCTCGAAGATAGCATGTTTTTTAACTGTTTTACTTCTCCTTTATGCCTTTTAGGAAGAGTATACAATTTTTCAGCTTTGCAAAGCAAATCAAATGGGGACCTTGATTTGATTATTTAGTTGTCTAATTAAGACAGAAATTAAGAGCATTTATTACATGTAACTTGGCTAAATCAGTTCGCTGTTACTTGCTTTTGATAAGAATTTTTTTTTCTTGGAAAATG